AATGGTGTAAAAACCAACCGAATTTGTCAAATATATTCTGCGTTATTACACGCCAAATTTGGATTCGAATTATTTTGATACACACTGTATACTATACTATACTATACTATACTATACTATACTATACTATACTATACTATACTATACTATACTATACTATACTATACTATACTATACTATACTATACTATACTGATAATTTACATTCGTGATGGTTGGAAATAGATTTGCCTGACGCTTGTTCAGTTGTTTAAACTGATAATTTACATTCGTGATGGTTGGAAATAGATTTGGCTGACGCTTGTTCAGTATAAAATTGCGAGTCGACAACATTTAGTACAAAACAACATAAGATACAAAGGCTTACAAATCCTTGGAATTATAGATATGAATTAATACTTATTTTATATAATTCTGTTAACAGGCTATACATTTTACAATTAGTTATCATGGAATGTTGGTCATCCCCAATTTTGAAGAATATGGAATTATAAACAGGCGTTGGCCCATTGTCTATCTAGCCGAACACAAAGACAGTTGCTTGTAATTGTAGTCCTATAATTGTAAAACATATTGAGTTCTGAGTGTTCTTAGCCATCTTAGGCCGTGAAATACATAACTATGTCATGTCTTCAAAACGTCTTCTGCGAAGAACCGGCCCGATGAACTGAATCGGGTCGCATCACTGATCAGTGGCACAGAGACGGTGGTTTGCATACGGCAATCGCCTGATTTATTGCCTTTGTTGTGGAGTATATTTGGCAGTTTGGCTTTTCCTTTATACAGTATGTAAGAGTTATAAACCGAGTAGGAGGTTTATAACTGATATATTGACACGAGGACGCGTAGCGTCCGAGGGGCAAAATATCAGTTATAAACCGACTTTCGAGGTTTATAACTAACTTATATCACACTTGCGGAGGTTTTCCAACATATTTTGTCATTTTCAAAAATTTTTAATGAAAAATTCTCGCGTTTTGTCCACAAGTTTAATCTAATCATTTATTCAAGGTCTATAAGCTAGTTATAAATCTCGGATGAACAAAGAAAACCGACGCAAGTGTGATATAAATCGCATGCATTTACTATGAACTGTGAACAATTAATTACTCAGCCACTCCTCCTTAAGTAACATACAGGGCGCTAATTAAAGACTCCCCAAATTCTGGGGTGTCACGTGACCTCCTGTAGAAGGGTCTCTGCTGGAGCGTGTCAGGGAGGGAAGCGGAAGTAGAGAGCCTGGCTTGCGAGGTTGAAGGTTCAATGTTGTTGAGGCATAAAATGTTTTCAAGTCATCTCATGGAGCATTGTATCCTCTAAGAATTCTTAAAAAGTATAGCCTCTTAGCCGCCTTCTTGCCAATGTAATCTGTGTTTGTTTTCCACTTTAGGTCATCAACTAGCCATACACCGAGTAGCTAAATAGTAGTTAGCTTCACTCTCTGGAACAACATTATTTCCGACTTAAAACTTTGCATATCTTTTCCAAGCTTTAAAATTAAATGAAACGGGAACAGCTCCAGCAATTTCTAGATAGTTAAGGGCATGTTTTTCTTTTGTTAATCAGTAAGCATTGTTGTCATTGTCGTTGTTATTGTCCTTGATGTTGTTGTTGTTGTTTTCGCTGGCGTTGTTGATGATGTTGATGCATATGCTGCTGTTGTTAATGTTGTTGTCAAGAATTGATGTCGTGTTTCTGTATAAAGTAATTGCGTGATCTTATTATATAAATTTAGGATCTAATGTATATTTGTAGTAATATCATAGTTGCCTCGAAATCCTTTGTCTCGCGAGGTAGAATTAATCACTAATTTACCTCATTACTATAACATGGGGTAAAATTAGAACTAATTTTACCACGGGCAAAATTAGAACTAATTTTGCCCGTGGTAAACTTAGTTCTAATTTTCCCCTGCATGCTTGATGAGGGAAATTTAGAAGACAAAAGCGTACCTCATTACCTCTGATTGGAGAGCTGTACCTCATCGAAAATCATCGGCACAACTATGGACAGTATCTGACGACAGCGTCCCGTAAACATTCGAACAATCACTTTGCCAGCTTTTCAGTGGCGGCGCCACCTTAGAATTTGGGGGGGGCATTTGAGGGGCAAAATTTTAATTTTGGGATAGGTAATAGGACCTCTACATGCGTCTTGGACCTGTGGTGTACTTAAAATCATTATTTATCTAATGGATTACTGTTATTTTCAACGGGGTCTTGAAAGTAGACCATGCCGTGAAACATTGTATAAAAGGTGCACGCGTTGTTTTGTGTCTCTTTTTGTCATTCCATTGTAGAAATATCGTGATTGAAGTTAGCATGTGCTGAACCAAACAAATTGAACCAAACAAATTTGTTGAGGGCCAAACAAATGAAAAAGCACAATTAACACAACTATATATACTATATCTCCATATGATATATACTATCCGCTAACATACTTCACAAGCACGGTCAACCCAAGACTCTGTGAGGTTTGCTATAGCCCCAATACACAGTCACGTCACTATTCAATGTTTCATTAAAAATCACAACATCTCTCCAATACCATCCAGCTATCTCCCTGATATTATATTTTATTTATTTTTTGTTGAACCAATGGGATGGTTTGTCCAAGGCCATTTTACATGCCGTTCGACCCATGTTCGCCTTTCTCAGTTTACAGTCATTTCTAATGATATTGACCCAATATCATACCATATTGAAACGCGAAACTGGCTCGGACTGCTTCGAACTGCTTTGGAAAATCAATCCTTATTACTGATATACTATTTAAAAGTATCAATCCATATCAGTATATACTACGTAATGACTTAATTCCATACTGTGCAGTCAACTGAAAATTTTTTTGCGAGACCCTGGGCACCACGTTCTTTGTGTTTTGTAAAACATATGGGATTTTTAGTCTAGGACATCTAATTAGGTTTACCCATTTGGCATAACTAAATGTTCTGCCTAATTCTATAAGCCACAGTTCTGGTAGATTGTACAACATCTACCTATTCCGCTACCTATCAATAGTTAGATACATCACACAAACCATAGGCTTCATTACATATTTCCCGGCATGGTTTGCCTTCAAGACCCTATGAGTATGTACATAATTTAACTGCATGTATGTACTTATATACTAAGGAATAAACCTACAATCCTCACACAGACTCAACTACATGTGATGGACAGATTACGGAAACAGTACACAGTACAAATCAAGGATTAAGTTTACAATTTCTCAATGCATGGTCTACTTTCCAAACCCTGATAAGATAAATTTAGAAAACTATTTATTCATACCAGATATAGAAAAATTACAAAACACAAAATCATAAGCCTTGTTACCAATTCTAAATTTGCAATATCACAGTATGGTCAAATCCGACCCTGTGATAAATTCATGTGCATCATCAATTTACACCTATCAATTACCATGCAAGTAATAACTTTACATACAGTACATGCTAACTTCAATTACGATATTTCTACAATGGATTTACATAATAAGACAAAAAACAACGCACGCATAATATGCGTGCACCTTTTATACAAAAAATTTTGCGGCATGGTCTACTTTCAAGACCCCGTTTAATATAAAAGAAATCCATTAGATAAATAACGATTACAAGCAAACAGGTCCAAGACGCATGTAGAGGACGCATGTAGAGGTCCTATTACCTATTCCAAAATTAAAATATTGCGTGCTACAATTTCTTCATCACTTGTTTCTTCGACCAAATCGACTAACTTGCACAGTTTGGACAACCTTTGCACTGGGATGGATGTTAATTCCACATAGATTCGAAGGAACCAGTTTGTCGTGCACTTGCTGGCTTTCAAAGTGAGTTTACAGCTCTCACAAAAGGCGAATTTGTTTTTAACTGCTAACCTTTTTCGAACACAAATGACACGCCTTATATTTCGTGATACCATAAACTCCCAGAATACTCACAACGATTTCTTTCGTGGTCGACTGGAGTTCAACAGCCACTGCAACCGTCATTGACAATTTGACTTCAACTGATAATCCGACTACAACTGGCTATATGACAACAGAAGATTCAACGACAACAACGACCAAAAAACACGGAATAAAGTTCTTCTGCAAACAGCAGTTACGTATGCGCAAGGGGAGAATGGCTCCAATCCAATACCGGTTCGATTACTTTTGGATAGCGGTAGCCAACGTTCCTACATTACCAATTCATTAAAGAAGCGACTCGTTCTGGTTCCAATACGAACAGAAACTCTTAATTTAAATACCTTTGGTGATGATCATTTTAAGAAACGACGTTGCGATATAGTCCAGTTATCGTTGAAGGGAAATAGTGACAATCGAAAGATAACGGCACTTTGTTTTCCAAATCTTTGCTC